TATTATTTATTATCATTCAAAACAGACTGGTAATTGCAAGCAGACAGGAGACAGTTTTGATTCACCAGGAGAATAAAAACAGATTTAGAGGATACAGCTAACACTCGAATTCTATTTCACTTCTGGCTTGTCATCTTTTTTTTCTTATCATATTGTGCTTTTTTCTTTATATTTGTTTTTGTACAACATCTTTCTCTGTATTTATTTTTGTATAACATGCATTCATATAATATTTTTGTCATCATTGACTATTTTGTTTATAAATATTCGTATTGGGAGAGGACGTCTTTAATGTTGTCATAACTTGTGTCCAGTCCCTAACTTTTGCTATTCTTGTAAATAAATATGATTAAACTGAACTCATGAAGATGAGAGAATCAGTTCAAACGAGAAAACCAGCCTTCTATTTTTAAATATGTTGCTTCGAAAACATTGTTTGTAATTATAATAGAAAAGAAAGGATATAGACACACTATCAGTACTTGCACAGCAAAAAGCACAAAAAGCAAAGGAACAGAGCTTTTCTTACTGTTCTTCACCCCAAAGTAGCAGCGAGGCCTTTACCACGGAGCAAAATTTCTCACCTCACTTCAAGTTTAAGACGGCTCCTATCACAGATTAAAGCGGAGTTCTTTGCAAACTGACGATCACGTCACAGCTGCGAATTGAAGAAAAAAGCCATGGAGTAATAGTAATAACATAAATCTGTCAAAGAAATCAAAAATTTACTGTCATAATTTAGTTCGACAATCACACGTGCAAAAGAAAAAAAAACCTTAAAACAACCACAGGGCACATCGATGTATATGTTATATAACCTGAAAGGAAATAACGTATGTATAGGGCAAAATAATCGGTTGACTCTGTAAGATGTAAAACCACAATCTCAGGCCCGGACATACAGTACTGTAAAGAACCTACTGGAAAGTAGTACATACTTAAAACAAAATATTTCCTACGCATATAGGAGTTAATATCAAACTATGAAGAATATGTATTGGTAATTTAGGTATCAAAGGAAAGGTGAAGGACTGGTGATTCTTGTAGAACACCTTTTGACTGACTATTTTGAATAAGCCGTGTAATGATCGTTAACCAAAAGCAATACAAAACCATGATTAAAAATTAAGCTATGATTGTAAAGAACCCCCCTCCCCCCCCTTCCCCTAAAAAAAATCGAAGGACACGGTAAAAGTACAGTTGAAAAAACTGGGTAAAACCAAAAAACTCGTGAAGGAACCAAGACCTACATCATCGATCTTACTTTAACATCTGAAATGTATCAACAAAATATTGGGGATAAGATTAACAAATTTGTAAACCATATCTAGATTCGAAAGCAGTCCTTCTTAACTTAAGAGGATTCAAATATGTAAAATCCATTTTAATGAAATAGGTCTTCGTGTTATATAAAACTATCATTCAAATGTTAATATTGACTGGTTGAAAATGACGATTAACAGATCAATACTATCAGGATTGATTCTCACAGAGGTGAATACTTTTTAAAGCATACCGATGTTGTTACTGTTTTGTCCGGGACTATACTTACTTCGATTATTACCATGGACAGGTACTATATTTCTAACACCGATGTTTGAACTGTAATTCTAATATGACGTGCTTCTTTCGCTTTGTAAACAACATCGTGATAAAATTCTCGATATATCTATAGGTTGCAATTCTGTAAATATAGACAATGCAATTTTCCATAGGAACTCCCTTTGCGGCTAAAACTGTGACACTTTTACTATGAAGTTTCGTGAAAAATAATATCCTAGAACGGAAAGTTTATATGCACTACTATTTTATTCAAAGGTCAAAATATAGGGCTGTGCGGCATATTTTCAACATTTATATGCCCTGAACATTAAAGAGTTTAAACTTATACTAAAATTCTATACTACCCTAACCTCCATTTTTGGACCTCCTAAGAATTAAAATTTAGGCACTACCATGTTTTTCTATACTGGTTACATTCCCAAGTGATGTCTCTACGATATGAAACACAGAGATCATAAATGGGAACCAGTACGTTAACAAATTAACATATCTATGAATATTATATATCTCCCCAAAAGAGGCGTGGTTTGAGAAACAGCTGTATTTACAAAGTGCAACCTATACAAACATTTATTCAAATAGAAAACTCTCTAAAAACACTTTTTCTCACAACAATACTTATTTATCAGAATTATAGCCTTAAAGAAATCACTGCATATACTCTAAGTTTCCTTTTACAGTACATTTTATACCCCTACCCCTGTTTCAATTTTTAAAGATTTTGAAAACAAGACTTTAATTATTGCCAGCTTACCCTATGTGCATGTTTTCTGACATGAACTGTCTAAAACCTGTTTGAAACTATTCTGATAACAAATTGAAAGCATTTTAAAATACTATAAATGTAATGTTTAGTAGTTAATCATTCCAACATTCAAGATTATACAAAGTATCCAATCCTGCCTGTGTCTCCAGTCCACATCTTACTGTATGCCTATTTGTCAATTAAAGTTCACAATTTCTGCCTCAAATGGTCAGTTTAGAATTCATGTTACAACAGTATCATCCCTAACCATATATCTAACATAAGTTAGTTAATATATGAACTAGAAGTGTTTAAGCAAAGCCATATTTGCAAAAGTTGTATTTATAAAGATATCAGTCTGGTGCATAAATTCACTAAAAGTTTGATAGAAATGACTGCTTACATCTGATTTTTGCATAACTTCCTAGCACAGTTATTGTTTTCTTTACAAAAGACCTTTGAAATAATAAAATCATAGCATTTAGAAGTTAAATTATCTGTTTTATGACACAGGGGGAGGCATTTTTCTCTGTTTTTTTGCCCCTGGGGCCTCACATTTCCTAAATTGTTTCCCTGTTTCTAGCAATATGGAATATTTGGTACATATTTAGGATAGAACACACTATTGTAAGTTTTATTGAGGTCTTTTTGTAATTCTAGCTTGTACTTTTTATGCCGCAGTCACAAAAAAGCACATTTAGGTGTTACGGCTTACTTTTGGGTTATCGACAGGACAAAAACACCCCACCAAAAATATTTAAGAAGGATCAATGAGTTGCAATGACTGCGAAGAGTAAATATAAGCACTTCTAAACAATTTAAATTACAAATAGGCATATATTATGAATTTATTTTTAATTCAGGGCTTTAAGTAAACAATACATACTGTAAACTGTGAATTTATGCTGACTCATCATAGTTTAGGCCCAGGATTTTCTCAATCTTCATGAAATATTTATAAAACTTCATATTTGAGTTAAATTCTTTAAAATCTCTGAGATAAACAAGATTTTGTCAAATTCTGTATGTTCTAATTTTTAACCCTATATAGGTTGCAATTCTGTAAATATAGACAATGCAATTTCCCATAGGAACTCCCTTTGCGGCTAAAACTGTGACACTTTTACTATGAAGTTTCGTGAAAAATAATATCCTAGAACGGAAAGTTTATATGCACTACTATTTTATTCAAAGGTCAAAATATAGGGCTGTGCGGCATATTTTCAACATTTATATGCCCTGAACATTAAAGAGTTTAAACTTATACTAAAATTCTATACTACCCTAACCTCCATTTTTGGACCTCCTAAGAATTAAAATTTAGGCACTACCATGTTTTTCTATACTGGTTACATTCCCAAGTGATGTCTCTACGATATGAAACACAGAGATCATAAATGGGAACCAGTACGTTAACAAATTAACATATCTATGAATATTATATATCTCCCCAAAAGAGGCGTGGTTTGAGAAACAGCTGTATTTACAAAGTGCAACCTATACTTAGTGCAGACTCAGAGATGTACATAATAATGGCTGTTACAATATACCTCCCACGTAAATCCACATGTTTCGTAACCTATGTTCAAACGCTATGCCGATTTCGCTGTGTTAAAAATTAATTAAAAAAAATCCTACAGAACCTTTATTCTTATTCTGATGCATAAAAAAAGATTTAATGCATTAGAGCTCGAAAAAATGTACAAAATAAAAAAAATAAAATTCCGTGAAATTCCATTAATGCTTTTGGTGCATTAGTGATATTTAACGAACGAACGAAAACGCTAAAGCTGAAGGTTTTTCATTTGCGTGAACCCTCCAATTCGTATAGTATTGCATTAAAATGAAGTTTTGAGGTAGGTGTTGTTTTATTTTCTATTCTATTGCATTATTCGCACATTCACTGATTTCAGCAAGTTACAATGTAACATGGCGGCTCCCTAGTTACGAAATGTCAATCTTGGATTTGACAGTAACTTACGAGACAAAAAGTAAGTGAAAAATGGCAAATGTTGGGGTTGAGAATTAAAAGAATTAAACACATGTTTTGTAGCGGTTATTTAAGAAATAATTCATGCAAGCTATAGATTTATTGGACATTTTTAGCTTTATTTAATAGGGAGTAAAATAGAAAAGCCACACACACAGCATATCCTTCCTCGCTTCAGTTTTTTAAATGACCGTATCTGTCCTATTAGAATCTAAATAATTCATGGAAGCCATAGATTTGCTGGAAATTTACACCTGGCCTGGGCCGTGATAGTCGAATTTTATCCTGAGTGTGTATTATGTTATGTTTGTATTAATATTGCCTTCTTTTGTACTTGTAAACATATCTTGAAAACATGAACATCTCGATGTGGAAGAGGTCATGCTGACTTAGTCCTTTCCACCGAAGAATGTATGTATTTTCATTGAAATTGATAAAAGAATAAAACAAGATTTGTTTTTAAGTTAAAATAGTTTGGAAATTGTATATCAATAGGATAGAAAATGGAAACGGGGAATATGTCATAGAGACAACAACCCGATCAAAGAGCAGAAAACAGCATGAAAATGATCAACACAAATTAACAAAGGGCTAATGGCAGTTACTGACATGCCAGCTCCAGACCTCAATTAAACAGATCGACAGGTTATGTCTTCATCATACGAGGCTTACTTCCAACAAAAAGATATTCCTATTTTTCAGATTTAAATACAACATATCAAATAGTTAGTATGAACATCGTCCACTGGCCAGGGGAGTACGATGTTAAAGCATCAGCACAAGCGTTATTACGCCTCCGAACTTTTTATTATTTTAACATTGACAAAGCTATCAATGGTATTCTTTTTGATGAACAATGTCAACCACTAAATCCGTCACAAGTACTAAAGATTATTAGAATCGCCATAGACAGTAATCTGCTAAACGAGGCGAAGCTTTGGTGTGAAGCTTTACTACGCATACTTCCGTTTACTTCCTATCAAGACGAAAATATCAATGACTTGGCTATCAATAGGTTTTTGGCCGCTATATACAATCAGGTTAGAATGTCTTATGTTAATTATCCAGTTTTTAAAGGCTTTATTGAAATAAATTAGCATTCACTTATCATACATTGTACCATAACTTTAAAAAAAAGTTTAATAATAGTACAAAGTGAAGTGGTATCTTATAGCCATGTTATGACTTTGTGATTTTTGTAAACAGAATAGTTAAATCAAACACAATTAAAGATGAATATTTAGGAAATTTAAAAGATTTTTGGTATTACTTGACAATATGAATATAAGTTATTAACCTGATGGTAAAATATCATGCCGTTCTACACTAAGATGCAGCTGTATATTAAGTGTTCTCTTTCTCATAGATTCCTACTGCTCTTGCATAAAAGTAACGGCTTTCAATGGAATAATAACAAATGGGGAACAAATTTAAAATTCAAAGATACAATATGTTGAAAGATCGCCATAATCATAACGCTATGGAATATTCGACAAAGAACCAAACTAAAATTTATTTAGTGTCAGCACATAAATAAACAACAAAAAATAACCTGATCAATGGTGAGCTCTTACAACCGACCATATAAAACATCTTGATCACATTACATTGCATAAAATCAAAACATAAAACTATGTAGAATAATGAAAAACAAAGACACCAGAGCACAAATAATATCGACATAAAAGCAGAAGTGTTAATTTGCATATGAATTCAACCTTTTATTTCCACTTTATGAAATGATTTCTGTTCATAATTCTAATATCACGGATGAAAAATAACCAATAAAAGTATACACAATTATATTCTGTTTATATTTCAGGCTGGTATGCATAAAAAAGCAGCAGGCGTTTTGTTAGAATTAACTCAGTCTGGTAAGGCTCTGAATATTTAACACGAAAGACAAAACGATATGTTATTTGAAATGTAAACGAATTAAAAGTACTCAGCTGTTAATAATAAAATTACTTATAATACTAAATTAGTAATATGGACTAGTAATGGTCATAACATACTCGTAATGGGAAAAGAAATAATAATATTATATTAGTAATAGGGAACAGTAATGATACTTGTGCACTTGTAGTAGTGAAAAGTACTGATAATAATACAAGTATATAATAAACGCATTGATAATGATTCTAGTAATACTAAAAGTAATGATAATTATATACTAGTAATATAAAAAAATAATGGTAATTATATACTAGTAATACTAAAACTAATGATAATAATATGCTAGTAATACTAAATGTAATGATATAAATATACCAGTAATAGAAAATAGTTATGATCATAAAACTAGTAATATTGAATAGTAATCATAATAATACCAGTAATAGTCAAAGGTAATGATGATAATCTTAGAAAAAGTGAAAAGAAGTAATATAATAATAATTACAGTGAATAGAAATGATAATTATTCTAGTTATAGTGAATAGAAATGATAATAATTCTAGTTATAGTGAATAGAAATGATAAAGATACTAGTTATAGTGAATAGAAATGATAAAACTTCTAGTTATAGTAAATAGAAATGATAACAATTCAAGTTATAGTGAATAGAAATGATAACACTTCTAGTTATAGTGAATAGAAATGATAATAATTCTAGTTATAGCGAATAGAAATGCTCATAATCCTAGCAATAGTGAATAGTAATGATAATAGTTTTGGCAATGGTGAATATAAATGATAATACTATTGGCATAGTGAATAGTAATGATAATAATTCTAGTTATAGTGAATAGTAATGATTATAATATTGGCAATACTGAATTTTAATGATAATAATTTTGGCAATAGTGAATTTTAATGATAATAACTTTGGCAATGGTGAATATTAATGATAATAATATTGGCAATAGTTAATATTAATGATATAATAATTTTGGCAATAGTGAATATTAATGATAATAATATTGGCAATAGTGAATAGTAATGATAATTATAATTCTAGATATAATGAATAGTTATGATAATGATATTGGCAATAGTGAATAGTAATGATAATAATTTTGGCAAAAGTGAATATTATTGATATTATTATTGGCAATAGTAAATATTAATGATAATAATTTTGGCAATAGTGAATATTAATGATAATGATATTGGCAATAGTGAATATTAATAATAATAATATTGGCAATAGTGAATATTAATGATAATAATATTGCCAAGTGAACATTAATGCTCATTATACTACTTATAGTGAATAGTTATGATAATACATGTAATACTTGTTATATAGTCTTTTCAACTGGATGTATTTGTATTGGCCCTGTTATAGCATCGAAGTTAGCTGTATGTGCCCCGAGAATCTATAATAGAGTCAAATACAGAAAAAGCTGGTTCATAAAACTTTTATTAAATGATCCCAATTCTTCAACATTGATGAAATTTCTGATTTCCCGTGCAAGTACTTAATCTTTACTACTTCAATTCATTTCATCTAGCAAATATAAAGTATCTGGGAAGAATAAATCAGACAATTTAACAATGCTTACTCTTTAATCGGCCGCGTCCGATGATTGATCAAGGCAAATAAAACAGTGATAGTAATAGAAAGTTTAACTCAAAACGTCTGAGGAATAATTTTGTTTCAAATCGTTACATAGCACGTCACATCTTTTGTTCATGCTATTTTAAAGGGGCATTAGCTACGATATATACAAAAATTAAAGATAGGATTTTGTTTGTTTCAATCATTAATGAAAGTGAAATCGTGAAATAATAATTCGCTTTTAGCAGCCAGTTTGGTTCAATTTTGTCAAAATAAGTTAAGAAACATTGCTGATGAATTATTCACTTGCAAGTGAATAATTCGACCTCATTAAGTCCGTATTCATGTGAACTTCAATTTAACCCATTCGCTAGAGATTGGTTACGTATGAACTAGGCGTGTTCAGCCATTAAAAGGAAAAGAATCTCAACATTGGAAGTGAAACAAGGGTTAACCATTTGATTGACTGATTCGATCCACAAAAACTCATTCTTATATAGGTAAAAACGATAATTAAAATATTTGTTAAATCTATAATATGAAAACAGACATAGAAAAATACAATTGCACGAGTTCGCTATCTATTTATATCTATATTTATGTTTATATCGGGTTAAATGACCGTCGGCAGTCTTCGGAGGTCACGTCGATCATTAATTAAGTGGCGTCTAGACTAAAATACACACGAAATGCTGATACATATTATCGTGTTCATGCATCGTAAATTGTTTATTTTAGACTTTTAATAATTTGAATATACGTTTTAGTATGTTATAAGTCGAATGCGAGAATTTGAGTTAAATCGGGAATATTATAAAAATGTATATTACGCTTACCGATACGTCCAAAGTTAGGTGAGGCGTAAAAAATGAAACCGGATGTGAAAGTCCCGTATTATCCAATTGATTTCAGTAATGAGGCACCAAATTCTGGGATATATATGCCCTTTGAGACTCACAGTCCACATCCAGCATTGTCGACCCAGTGCTAGTAGCTATAAATTGAACTTTACAAATTTGGTTCCTTAATAATTAGGAATGCTCCAAACTGAAATGTTGAAAGACATGAAAGTATGAATACTTGCGGAACTGTTTTAACAAAAGGGACCTTTAAGGAATAGCCAAAAACCATTCATATATGGCCAGACACTGGCTACTGGGCTTGTGATATTCCCAGGGACTTATAATTCACAAACAGGTTATCGACCAAGTGGTAGTGAACGAAAGTAACACATTAGAAATTTCGTGCGTTCAAAGCGCTTTCTAGATTTACCTTTATCGGTAACGCTCAAAACCAGAGAAATGATAGTCAGGTGTATATATATACTAAGGAAACAACATGACCAAACAGAACATTAAAAGACTAACAAAAACATCTAAGTAGATATAAGAAGATGTGGTATGAGTGCCAATGAGACAACTCTCCATCTAAGTTAAAATTTATAAAAGTAAACCATTATAGGTCAAAGTACAGTCTTCAACACGGAGCCTTGGCTCACATCGAACAGCAAGCTATAAAGGGCCCCAACAATTACTAGTGTAAAACCATTCAAACGGGAAAACCAACGGTCTAATCTATATAAAAAACGAGAAACGAGAAACACTTATGAACCACTTCAACAAACGACAACAACTGAACTTCAGATTCCTGACTTAGGACAGGTGCAAACAACTGCAGCGGGTTTACACGTTTTAATGGTACCAAACCTTCATCCTTTTTCTGAAACAATAGTGTAACATCACATTACATTGTACGAAAGCCTATTAGGGTCACAAAAAAATATTTTTATCTCGTAATTACGAGAAAAGTATCGCGTAATTACGCGATAATTATCTCGTAATTACGAGATAATCATTGTTTTATCTCGTAATTACGAGATAATTATCGCGTAATTACGAGAAAACTATCGCGTAATTACGAGATAAGACGTTTTTTATCTCGTAATTACGAGATAATTATCGTGTAATTACGAGATAACTTTCGCGTAATTACGAGATAAATATCGCGTAATTACGAGAAAACTATCTCGTAATTACGAGATAAAAATTTATTTGGCCAAGTAGATTAAGAGGAGAAAGATTTTTGTAAAAGATTAAAAAAATTTACTTAATTGCAGAAATGACTTTAAAGGGCAATAACTCCTTAAGGGGTCAATTGACAATTTTGGTCATTTGACTTATTTGTAGATCTTACTTGGCTAAACATTTTCGCTCCTACAGTTTATATCTTTCTATTATAATATTCAAGATAATAAACTACAAAAACTGAAAAATAATCTTAAAAATTACCAATTCAGGGGCAGCATCCCAACAACGGGAAGTCTGATTCGTCTGAAAATTTTTATACCCTGTCATATTTGCTCTAAATGTTTTAGTTTCAGAGATATAAACCATAAACTACATTTTACCCCCCCCCCCCCCATGTTCGATTTTTAGCCATGGTGGCTATCTTGGTTGGTGGGCGGGGTCTTTGGATACATTTTTTTAAACTAGACACCCTAAGGATGATTAAGGCCAAGTTTGGTTCAATTTGGCCAAGTGGTTTCAGAGGAGAAGATTTTTGTAAAAGTTAACGGACGCCATGTGATGGGAAAAGATCACTTGACCCTTTGGGTCAGTTGAGCTAATAAAAACAGGCGTTTTATCAGGTGCCCCGGAAGGGTAATCATGATCTGTATATCTATATATATATATAGATGTAATTTTATCTCGTAATTACGAGATAGTTTTCTCGTAATTACGAGATAGTTTTCTCGTAATTACGCGATAGTTATCTCTTAATTACGCGATAATTATCTCGTAATTACGCGATAATTATCTCGTAATTACGAGATAAAAAATGATTATCTCGTAATAACGCGATAGTTTTCTCGTAATTACGCGATAATGATCTCGTAATTACGCGATAGTTTTCTCGTAATTACGAGATATTTATCTCGTAATTACGAGATAAATAATTTTTTTTTGTGACCCTAATAGGCTTTCGTAACATTGTAATGCAACCTTTAAAAACCAAATAAATCAGTTATAACAAACTTTTTTTTAGATATATTAGCATTTCTGTAATTGATAGAATTGTCATAGCTTTCCATAAATATGTTTTCATTTAGGATACTCTGAAGTCGACCAAGAGTATGAATTTTATAAAAACAGTATTAATGAGACAGACGAGAAACAAAATATAGCACTGGTTGCAGAGGAATATGATAACCATTATAAACAGTTATGCAGAGAGAATAGAAAAGTATGTCTTGAAAGTTGATCTTTCCAATACGTTCGCACAAAAAAAATTCCAAAAATGTCTATCTAAAGAAAATTAAAAAAAAACGAGTAGATGAGTAAGAAGTAATTACTGAAAAAGTAGGAAATCAAAGTGAAAAAAAAACCAACAAAAATGAAATTCAGAAGACTTGGCAAGAGTATGATTACTGAAAAACCAACCGAACTGTTTGAACTCATATGGTTTTGCTTCGTCACTGATATGATTTAGAACATTTGAGTACGCATAAAACTTGTGGCTAGGACAATCTTCTTCAGATACGTTCAATACCTAGCAATTGGAGAAGCCAAGTGGAGAAATAGCTTCCTATTTTCTAATTGGAGATTATTTTTTTTAATCTAATGTGATTTCACACAGAACAGCTTATACAAGAAAACACATTCTGCTCCCTCAAGTCCTTGAACCGGTTTTACAAAGTTTGAAATTCGCTCCAGGATTTTTTTTTATTGTAAATTTGTAAAAGTAGTAAAACTGTGAATATCGGTAAGTTTCGAAGGATCTAATAATGTAATATTCATTTAAAAAATCATTTTGTAAAAAAAATGTCGTAATCCATACACAAATGAAACAAGGTTAAACAGAAAAATGACACATTAAATAATCCTGTCTTAAAACTATTTTTCTTATAAGAGTCAGAATAGCGTTACCTCCAAACGGAGTGAAACCAGGTACATGAAGAGGAAAATATTTCTTGTGTTTTTAATTCTTTCAACGATTTCATATTCGAATTATATAGAAACTGTCAAAGCCAAATGAAAATTCCGGCAATAAAGTTAAAGTCATATGAAACGAGTTTCATGTAATTATAATATTATCGAAACTATTGAACCAAAGCATGCGGCTGTTTTCTGCTCTTTGGTCGGGTTGTTGTCTCTTTGGCACATTCCCCGTTTCCATCCTCAATTTCATATATTCTAATATATGCACCTGTATGCATGTTTGTTTACATTTATTATGAATCTATAACGTATTATCGAAAAACAATATTTCATTTAGTGATTGTTGATCAAAGCTAATTCATTTTCGAGTTTATTGCAGAAGTTTACCGGTTCACGACATTGATAAAAAATCAACACAGAGCATGTGGAGCACATGAAAAATATTTGAATTGACAGAGCCATTTTTTGTTATATATTCCATGCGTTCCCATTTATTATTTAACATTTTCCGTAACAGTTGTTAAATGATTTGGTGTTTTTAATTTGTTCTTTAAGAATTAGTTATTACTATTTACCTCCCAGTGCATGTTTGTTTACATTTTTTCATCACGGTTTCACCCTCGCACTTGCGCTCTGCGATGGCCGAAGAATTACGATAGGTCTCATAGTAAAATTCACTGCATACGGGAAAATATCGGCGAATTAGTGTACGGGAAGACAATAATTTAATAGCAGTACATTTATGAAGATTTTGATAATATAAAGAATTTTCTTTTACAACACTTCTTTCATAGTAAAACGTATTATATGATTTTAACCTCAAAACTGTGCATGAAAAAGTTAAAGTCTTCAGTAACTTAAAAAATGACACACTATGACGATACCGATCAATTAATTTGTAATGGCAACCAAATGACTTAAGTAATTATTTATCATTTCTTTCTTTAGTTGCTTTTGATAATTGATCGACGTAAAGGCGCATACAATTTTGCATATCAAAGACGCAAACACATGTCAACACAATATGAATATAGACCATGCCTTGTACCCGACCATTGGCTTAACGGAGAAGAAAGTGATGTTTTGTCAATTTCAGAGTTTTCTTCCTGGCATTTAAGCTTGAATTAATTGTTCTTCACATGAGTATAAGTCAGCTTAAAGGCGCGAATGATAAGTATCCTTGAAAATATCGAATGTTCGTAAAAAAATCGTTGTTGATCTAAACGTCCAGCAATTATCATAATTTCCTCTTTGATGTACATGTATTTGCCATTGGAATCATTTGATTTAATAGAATAGGTCTTTCTGCAGAACCACAGCGTTTGTTAGAATAGAATTTTGATGATTTCTTTGCTATATCATGTTGTAGTCTCCACGAGAATATTCCAAACTATACTGCTATTCAAGTGTTACATCTATACCATACTATAATGCAAAGGTAGAGATTGCTAATCTTCAACCAAAGATACTCGTATTCCATGACGTTATATCAGAGACGGAAGCATCCTATCTTCGACAAGAAGGCAGCAAAAAGGTATATAGTATTAGTTAAAAGTTGTTTTTTTTTGTTCTTCTCACTTTAAGCATTATCAATAATTCTCGTTAATTTTATCTAAACATACTTTTTATAAATACAGTGTAATCAGATATATTTAGTCTGTGGCATAGATGTTTCAATTATTATAACCACACCTGAAGGTTTACTGTTGAATATTGTAAATTCATGAGTTATTGCGTGCATTTATTATTGCGATTTTCAATGAATGGACAAAAATGCAAGATTCATTATTGCGATTACAGGAAAATCTGCATACAGATATCGTAATGCGAGTTCTTATTAATGCGATAATCACCAAGTCGCATTAAAAAAACCCTCGCAATAATTTCTGAATATACAGTATGTTAATGGTATTATCATGCTATTGTTTGTCAAGTGAATATGTTAGCTTGCTGTTCGGTGTGAGCAATGCTCCGTGTTGAAGGCCGTACCTTGACCTATAATGGTTTACTTTTATAAATTGTAACTTGGATGGAGAGTTGTCTCATTGGCACTCATACCACATCTTCCTATATCTTTGAATAAGGGCAACAGTAGTATACCGCTGTTCAATAGTCATAAATCGATTAAGCGAAAACAAATCCGAGTCACAAACCAAAATCGAGGGAAACACATCAACTATAAGAGGAAAGCAACGGAACAACAGAAACACTGAACTTGAACAAAAACAAACGCCAACATACATAGAAACGGACTATTTGATAACTGCCATATTCCGGACTTGGTACAGAAACATTGTTTTCCTCTAAGTACCAAACATAAATATACTTATTTTCTGATCAAACACCATATTCAGAAATAGAAGAGTTTTTACATAAAACATCCTTATTGCACATTCAGATTTTAAGTACGGAATATTTGTGCATATTCAGAATTAGATAAGTACAAATATATAACAAAAATACACAATTCCAAGGTTTATTCAATAAAGGGGAGTCCATAAAAACTGACAAAATCAAACGTTATTAACCATCGGAAAAAGTTCAAGTACAGGGACTAATTATCTCCACTGTCGTTTCATTTACAGTATCCAGATTTTGATTTGGAAACAATAATCACCGCCACCGGAGGTATGAACTCACGAAAATGTCTGATTGAGATTTTAAATCGAGTCTTTCCATAAGCTGTCTTTAAAGGGTATTCGTAGTTTTAAAGAAAACAAATATAAATATGTACATACCCATACGTAACCTATCTGATAAATGCATATTTAGCCATTTGTTACAACTTTATATACAATAGCAAAATGGGAGAACAACTTTGGATAGTTCTAACTAATTAATAGAAAATTATTAGTTATAGACCTAAAGTAAACCATACAATAATCTATCACTTAGTACCAAGATATTTATTATAGGTTTTTCATACATTCTTCACAATTTTAAAAGAAACATAAAAACCTACAGTTTCAATGTTCGTAAGCACTTAACTTGTTTCTAAAATATTATATATATAAGATACGATAGTTTATTATCCAATCAAGGACCCCCAACAAGCATACCGTCAAATTGCAACAAAGTCTGGCAAAAAGGCAAACAAGATACATTGTGAATTATGCAATATATAACTATCATAAAGTTAAATTAAACTGTAAAGTAGTCAGGAAGGAACACTACATCTTTAGTGATACATGTATTAGCATACTGTTAAACAAGAAGGTACAAGTTTCGGACTATATGCAAATCACTCTGAAAGTATTGCTTAACAAGAGTTCGTTCTAATTGGCTGACTAATGATGTAGTTAAGATTTTATTGGCTTGAACAAGTTATAAAATCGGGAACATGTTACGTATGAGAGACGAAAATATATTCGGAAGATGACAATCCGGATCAGTATGAATATTCCAGCCCGATTGATGAATATATTGCTATAGGATGGTGTCAGATCCACACTGTTGGATAAGCGCTGATATTCAAAGTTAACACACTATTACTCATCAACTTCGCTTTCTTTGCATTATACACGATTCGTTTCTTTCATTTTTCCTTTGTGCGATGTAAATAACATATCACCAGTCATTAATTATGAATATTATATATCATTCCAAATGATATATAAATAGCTCTATAAAAGACCCTCATTCGTTATCCCCAAGAGCGCTGAGTGTTAGATTCGCAGTTTGTCTCATTTTACTAATAAAACTAAGACACAAATAAAAGTAATCAAAAATGCAAAAAAAAATCTAAAGGGGTTCCGCAGAACCCTGTGACTCGCCTGCGTTTGCTGCTGTCAGTGTAAAAGTGTAATATTGACTAAAAAGTGAGGCCATTTATCAGTAAAATACATAATTTAAAAAAAAATTCAAACTTTTACCTTAGATGCTATTTCTTGGTCTTGATTAGACTGTCTGTAAATGTCAACTGTAAAAAATGAAGTCCATCTATCAGAAAAATACTAAAAATGAAAAAAAAATATTTTCAAAAGTTTGCTTCAGACATTATCTCTTAATCGTTAAAAAGATTCTGATAAAGTTTCATAACACTCTATGTGTAACAAACTTTAACTCTAGACTGTAAGTCCACTTATCAGTAAAATACGGAAAAATGAAAATAAACATTTTCAAAATCTTGCTCTGCATACTGTATTTTAGTCATAAACAAGTTTCTGTCCAAATTTCATAAAATTCCATGTAGGTTTGACAAAGTTATTGATGTCCGAAAAAACTTTAACCACAGACTGAACCTAAATGTTGACGCCGCCGATGCCGACGACGGAAACTAGGATCGCTTTGTCTCGCTTTCGCGAAATAAATTTCGCAGACTCAACTAAAAAAAAACAACCTGCTAATAAATACATATGACATAAAGATGAAACTCTTTCATCTCATGAAAATCACGTCAAGACAAAACTAAAGCTGGTATAAATTCGGAGACTGTTTCCTTTTAAAAAATTCGTAAGGGTTCCGCGGAACCCAGTGTCTCGCCTACTTTTCCTGTTGTCTATGTTTTCAGTGTAATAGGGGTATGCACATAATAGATTTACAGTTAATGAAATAAAACGTTTGAAATGTATGAAAAAAGTTATGCTTGTAAAAAATGAATACAGTATGCAATCAAATCCATAGATTTATAAAAGAGTTGAAACATAAATTCATTGAATGAACAAATGATAAAGAAGATAATTTTTACATTGCTTGATGATTTATCCCTTAATTCAGACGACGACGGAATGTAGGATCGCTAGACAAAAGTCGCAGGCTCAACAAAAATGGGGAAAACATTATTAAAAATTTTCCTCTAGATACTATCTTTTGATTGTAAGAAGCTTCTGTCCAAGTTTGATAAAAAATCCGGGATGGTTTGTGAATCTAATAAATGTTTCACAAATTTCAACTGCAGACTGTATGTAATGTTAACTGGAAAAAAACTAAGTCCATTTATAAGTAACATACGAAAAATTGGAAATAAATTTTAACCAAATTTTCATCTAGATACTAGGTTTTTATCATAAACAAGCTTCTGGTACAAATCCAGGATGGTTTAAGGAACTAATTAATTTTTTTTAAACTTTAACTACAGAGTGAATGTAATGTTAACTGGCAGAAAATTTAAGTCCATTTATCAGTAAAATACAGATAAACAGGATTTTTTTTTACAAAATTAATTCTGGATACTATCTTATGATAATAAACAAGCTTCTGTCCAAGTTTGAAACAAATCTAGGATAGTTTAAGAAAGTTGTTAAAATTTGAAAAACTTTAACTTCAGAGTGAATGTAATGTTAACTGGCAGTTAAACTAATTCCATGTATCAGTAAAATACAGATAAACAGGATTTTTTTTTACAAAATTAATTCTGGATTATGATAATAAACAAGCTTCTGTCCAAGTTTGGTAGAAATCCAGGATATTTTAAGAAAGTAATTAAAATTTCAAAAACTTTAACCACAGAGTGAATATTTGTGGACGCCGCCGCCGACGACGACGACGACGACGACGGAATGTAGGATCGCTATGTCTCGCTTTTGCGACAAAAGTCGCAGGCTCGACAACAATGAAATAGTTTATATAATATCTGTATTTTCCCCAGTAATCAACCATAAACAAGGGTTGAATTATTTGTTTACGTTATCGGGAAGTGTGATTCTTTCTTGATTATAAAAATAACATTCTAAGAGAAATTTTGTTTCCTTCGATATCGTCTGAGAAACAAATATTACAGATTGTTTCTTCAAAGGGCACACATGTTTATGTGTACTTCCAATTTTTAACCTTCAAGCATGACCTGCTTACCCTTCGATATCACTTGGCATTAGCTAATGTGTCTGGTGGTGTTCGTGTTGCTTTTAATTTCTTTGAAGAGGGTTGTGTACCCTTCCAGAGCCCTTGACATGTTTTGGGTTTTTTTTTTTTTTTTTTTTTTTTTTTTTTTTTTTTTATAAACTTAAACAATATTGTTATTGCGTATATTTCATACTGTTCAATGTATTGGGTTGTTTCTGCACAAACAAATCACATTTTGATATTGTGTAAAGATCCTACTCGAGCAATATACGTACGTTGATAAAAGTCTGTGTGCATGTTATTGTGCTTTAAAACAAATGCAGACTCAAATTCGGTGGCATTTGTTATAGATTAGGTAAATATTTCAGTCAGTAGTTCAGTTCATGAGCATGATATCACAGGTTTCTAATAACCTGTCAGACTATTCGTAACTGGTCGTAATTATACCCGGAACTATACGGACACGTATAGTGTGTTCACAGCTTGCTGTTAAGTGTATCCAGCAACTAGATGTAGTGATTAATGGAAAAGTACACATGCATGGTACAAAGTTCTGGAAACTACGCCAGTTCTGACAAATCTAATTGGTCAGGTTGGTAGGTAACTTTGATCTCCAAGTATTCAATTATAATAGGTCAACAGTATATGTTATTGTTGATCACTAATTTATTCAAGGTGAATCCTGGTTTCAGACCACTGCAGGGTAAAACCCTTTGTGAGCTTATACGTTTATCTTCACTGATATGGAAAAGG